TGAGAATCTTTGTTTTCTTGATGTTGAGTTTCAATCCATATCGAAGGCTGCAGTCCTTGACCTTCTGCAGCAAGTGCTTCAGGTCCTTCTCAGTTTCAGCAAGCAGGGTTGTGTCATCTGCATAATGCAGGCTATTGATGACTCTTCCATCAATCCTGATGCCACATTCCTCCTCGTACAACCCAGTGTCTCAGATGTTCTATTCTGCATGCAGATTGAAAAGGTATGGAGACAGAATACATCCCTGGTGGATCCCCTCCTTAATTTTGAACCATGCAGTGTCTCCTTTCTCTGTTCTCACGACTGCCTCTTGGTCCAAGTATAGGTTTAGCATAAGCACAATCAAATGTCCTGGGATTCCCATTCTTCTCAGAGTCAGCCACAGCTTGTTGTGATCCACACAGTCAAAACATATAGACATTCTTCTGGTATAGCTATAATATCCCTGATACCACCACCTCTTCTAAATCCAGCCTGTTATTACCTAGGTTATTATCTGAGGTGGAGGGAGGTGATTATCATTTGAGGTAGAGGGGTTACCCAGATTATCAATTGAAGTGGAGGGTTAGCCAGAGTATCAACTGAGGGGCAGGGTTACCCAGATTATCAACTGAGGGGTACGGTGAGCCAGAAGAGGAAGTGCTGGATCTCAGTGGTTGGGAAATGATGCAGATTTTAGTGTGTCTGAATCACTTATGGTGTGCACACTTGAAGGTGTTCATGTGAAAGATTGTTACATGTTATAAGAGATATAGTAGGGAAACATACCATTTTGTGCCAATGAAAACATGCTAAATATTATTCAAAGAAAAAGTCTATCTATTTAAAAGCTCAGGCACAATTCATTTTCTATTACTCTAACATCAATATATGTGCCCACTGCTGTGATACCTCATCATTGAATACCAGGGAAAACAGCTGGTTTACGAGAAAGACCCTGAAATAGAACCTGACAGCAATTTCAGGAATGACGGCTGCTTTCTATAACAATGGGACAGGAAGGAGGCAAAGCGCACTGTTTCCTGGCGTCTGTTTCCATGCCCCTGAGGCCCCTGCTCTGGAGAGGCTCGCTGTGCAATGTCCTGGTGGTTTTGAGAATGTTACCAGCTACCACTGAGAGCATTGGAAAACAGCTCTTAGGAGCCCATTTACTTTTCTTAACTCGGAGGGGAGCAGAGGAGTCCAAAGAACTGCAGGCCCACAGCTGGACCGCGCATCAGCTCTCACTTCTGAAACCTTGCAGCCTAGTTACACTATAGAACCTTGAAGAAGGTAACTTCTTATCACTTCCTGCAGTAAAGCATGTCGTTGTTGTTGTGTACCGTGGAATTGGAACTGACCCCATAGCTGGCCCTTCGTCGGGTTTTCAGAGATAATAAATCCTATGGGAGGAGATCGCCCATCCTTCTACTGCTGAGTGGCTGATGGACTCGAGCTGTGTATCTTTGGGATTGCAGCACAGCTTCTTATCACTAGGCCACCAGAGCCACAGAGATCACCAGTATTCATTCAGCGTGGAGTATTTTGAGGCAGGACTGGTTTTGGCAGATTGTGATTCTTAGCTCTTTGCTATTTCAGTAAGTTGAGATTTGTCTGTGAGCTCTTCTGTGATTCTGTGCATGCATCATGGCGATTTAAGGAATCACAGGGTTTCTCAAAGAGTAGTTCATGAAGGACACTAAGTCTGACCTGGTTGTAACCAAGACTGGGCTTGCAGGGTTGTAAAGACAGCTACTGCCCTTGGCTGCTGACCTGAAGGTTGGAAGTTTACGTTCACACAGGGTTGCTTAGGAAAGGTCTGGCAATCTACTGCTGAAAACCCTGCCACTGAGAATCTGCTCAGACACACATGCAGCTGCCATATGATCCACAGCAATGGATATCTAAGACTCGACTTCTTAAAGCTGGGAGTTGAAGATCCATGACCAAATTTAAAGAAATTCCACAGTGTTTAAGCTGAATAGAGCTGAGCTCCTGCCTACTAGCTTAAGTAGAAGAGAAATTTCTTTTACTATTCTTACTCTTTAGCATTTCTTTTTTTAATTGTTGTTGTAGTAGTTGTTATAAAATAATGAGTCAGAACCCATATGTGACCCTTAGCAGGTATTCAGAGGCAGTACTTAATCTATCTCTGAAAACTTCTATAAGATGGCAGGAAGCTGCCCATCTTTCATCAGAGAAGCTGGTGGATTTGAACCATACGTCTTTGGGTTGGCAGTGTAACTCCTTACCACTAAGCTACCACAGTTCAGCTTTGAAAAAATTGATCTGTAAGGAAAAAATGAGGAGGACAACTCTCTCAACAGTGCTGGGAGAGGCATGCGGTTTGGTGGACTGCACAGCTTCTTCTACCAGGCTCTGAGACCTTGCTTAACTACAAATATCATTCTAGGAAATATGGGACGGTGACCCCAAAATGTCTGCCAATCTCCCTGCTGGATAAAACTGGACACTAACATAACTATATGAGTAGAAAAAACATCATTAATACTCGCCTTTGTCTTGTCTTGGTACGTCTTCTCCTGCATTCAGCGTCCCAGCAATAGATTCACTGACACTTTCATAAACGGAGAGACTGAAATTACACAACAGCTGAAAGAAGTTGGTTATGTCCCAACTCGGGACTGGATCGTCTGTCTTTGCTGACTCTTTAGATAAAGCTGGGGAGAAGTAAGGGTTTTCTAAGTCTGCATCGGACATGAAGTAGGATTGAAAAGCCTGGTCGAATCCTTGCTGCATCTGTTGGAAGATGTTGCAACTCCTGTTAAACAGAGCTCCCACATCCACAGTGAGCCGGCTGAACACGTCCTCTATCCAGGCCACTCGTGTATCCTCCTCAGTGAGCTTTTCGAGCACAGAGAGATCTCGTTCATCATCTTCATGGGAAGGAAACAAAAACTGATATATTGCAGAAAAAAACTGCCCAATCTGCAGGAAAGGGCAAGGAGCAGAAACAAGAGAAGTCGTTAACGTACTCTCTAGGTCGTTTATTATCATAATTGTTAGAGTCAACTTTATTGCTTGTTGAGTCAGAACCAGCTATAGCGGACCTTCCGAAGGGTTTTCAGAAGCCATAAATTCCATGTGAGGAGATTGCTCATCTTTCTCCCCTTGGGGCAGCTGGTGGATTGGAACTGCTTGCCTTTGCGTTGGCAGTGCAAGTCCTCACTCACTAGGCCTCCAGAGCCCCCCAAACTTGTAATAGTCATTCTGAATAAAGAACAATGTTGGACAAGTGAGGACAAGGTGATTTACATGACATAATTTGTTAACAGGGAGCTCTGGTAGACTACTGGTAGGAAACTATGCTGCAATCCCAAAGGCACATGGTTCAAATCCACCAGCTGCTCCATGGGAGAAGGATGGGTAGTCTCCTCCCATTTGATTAACTGCCTCTGAAAAGCTGCCAAAGGGTCAGCTATGGGTCGATTCCAACTTGACAGAACTCAACAACAACAATTTGCTAACATTCTTACCTGACTTAGATTTTGACCATGAAAATGGGACCTGAGACTCCTCAGGTTAACGTTGTTTGGTTTTACATTTGCCCACTGATGGCCTCAGCATGGCTTTTTTCAATCGTGCCATGCCCAACAGCATGCTGCTGGCTGTCAGCATGCCGTGGCCCTCAAGACACTGTGGATGTGTTTGCCCCAGACCATGATGAAGGCTCCTGCCTTTCATTTATCTTACTTCTTGTGTCCTTTCTCCTTCAGTAAAAATTAGTCTCTTTACACTCTCTTCTTTCTCTCTTTGTAAATTAGTGTCAGAAAAGGAAAAGAAAGGTCAATAGATCCATACTGCTCTCTAGATGTCTTAAGCAGCTTAATGGACTATCCTTTTTAGGAACTGTACAGGTTAGCCCTGACCAGAGCCCTCCTTGGGTTCAGTGGAGGACTCCCACGTTGTAGGGTTTCAGGTACCACGTCAGGGGGACATTGCTGACAGTCATTAGGTAATGTGGCTGTGTCGAGTGCTCTGGAACATGCCAACGGTGGAGCATCACTGCGGATTCTTAGAATTCTGGAGGAGTTTCCTAAAAAACACTATCTAGATGATTTGTCTGCTTCTCTGCCAGTATCTGGTTATCTGGCCCCATTCATCAAAACAGAACCTCGAAATCTGAGGAAATGTTCACACAGTCACACAATGGCATAGCTGGGAATGGCCCACAAACCTCGTGACCTCCAGCCAGTGATGCTCTGCCCTAAACTAGAGTTCTGGAGAGTGACTGTGGGTGGACAGTGCAGCAGATGCCATGATCAAGGAGGCAAATGAGCTTGGTGCATTAATTATCCTCCAGGTTGCTTTGTAATTGGGCATGACCCTGCCAAGTGAAAAATGTGTGCTAACTAGTTTATGCTCAGATCTGAAGAGTGAAACTTCACATCCAGGTTACTTCGTGAAGGGAAAGAGAAACCCAGGTCAATCCTTTTATGGCTCAGCTGGTGTGATTCCACCACTCTCTGTGGCTCCTTATGCCCGGAAGATTGTTAAAAGAAGACAAAGAAATGATGCCCTTCCTAGCCTATGTGCCAGTACTTGCATGCACAGGGGGGATGATGGGGGTGTGTGTATGTGTGTGTATTTGTGCACACATGAAAACTGCACAAAATAAGTCATGTACATTGAAGAAGAGATAAAAGAGGTAGAGAATACCTCCAAATGTTTAGTTTCCATGGGTAAAAAGCAGGTTGAAGTCAGAGACTATAAATAAGGCTATCAGTGAAAATACAGTTCAAACAACATTTCTTGAAACCTTCAGTACTCAAAGACAAATAAAATGTGGTCTCTGCTCTGAGAGGTTACCTTCCAGGGGAATTCGTTTAGAGAAAAAATACTGGGTAGAAACTTGGGGTATTTCTCAGAAAGCTGCACACAGGACCATTAAAAGGAAGGATAAGCAATGAATGGACTTTATGATTTAGACATTATGTATGCACAGGTGATGGGGTGAGCATGCATTCTCTCTCTGACCTGCCATCAGCACAGGACTTGTAACTGACCCTCCAGTGGCGCTTTGGAGGCTGTAAATCATATAAGAGGAGGTTGCTCACCTTTCTCCCTCTGAACTGCTGGTGGTTTGAAGTGCCTTCGGATTATCAGTGTTACGCCACCAAAGCTCTCTCAGTAGATTTGAGATTGCAAAGTGCCAATAGAAAATAGGATGTGATTATTTGACATTTTTAGTATAAATTAATAAAAGTAGATTACTAGAATGAGGTGTCTTAAAAACCCTGAAATCTGGAGAGGGGATGTCAGCAAAAGAGAGGAAGACTCTCAATGAGATGGGTTGACACAGTGACTGCAGCAATGGCCTCAAGTGTGTCAGAGACTGACGATGGCACTGGGTTCAGGTCTGTTGCTTACAGGGTCGCTATGAGTCACACTTGACGTGATGGCACCCAGCAACAACAGCAGTTTCCACTTACCGTGTTTTTCACAGAGGCCCAGCTAGGCTGGCAGGTTGTATAGTATCTCCTGCAGTTACTCTCCAGGCAAGACTTGCATTCATCCCATGAATCTGTCAGGGCCACCTGGCACAGCCTCTCCTCAGCCACCAGATGTTCTTGAACTTCATTCATAAGTTTCAGGGCCTCCTATTGAAGAAGTAAAAACAAACATTCCATTTCCATTTCATGATTCTATGTGTGCCTTAGCTGATATCCTCTTTTAAAAAAATATTATGTGTATTCAAAGTTATTTTGTCAGCCGTTCTCATGCAGCTGACAGATCTATCCAAAGCTTTCTGCTTGACTGATAGCATTGACCGAGGCCTATTGAAGGCACACTCATGTGTGCATTTATCCATTCAGCAAACATTCCTTACATGATAAACATTATGCTCCATGTGGGTGAGTGCTCAGTTCATGTACCTCACCAGCGAATGCCTCTCATTGATCTGTTACCTTTCTTACTTTTACATTCACTCCAGGAAGGGGTTTGGGGATATAAGAAGTGGGGTTTAAAAGTTTTTTTAAAAATTCATTCATTGTTGCATATTTTCCTCTCTCCTTGTCCCTTCTCCATCTTCTAGTCTACTTTGCAATGCACCTCTTGTTCCATATTATTGTTGTACAAATAATGCCTAATCATATATTCCTTTCAGAAAGTTCTCTTCATCTGTTGCAAGACAGTGTTAATTATCTATCCACTCTTTTCCTATTTTCTCTCTCCTCTCCTCATGTCAATCCTGTTCTATAACATTGGTGTCATACAGTATTTGTCCTTTTGTGAATGAGATACTTCAATTAGCATAATGTCCTCTAGCCTCATCCATGTTGAATAAACGTTTTACAAGTTCATTGTTTTTCAATGCTGTGATAAGTTTTACAAAGCTGAACCATTACATTTAGCTTATTCATGAGGCCTTTAATGTTTGTAAATAATGCAAGAAAACACCGTTCTTGTACATCCAGTTGAGTTTTTCCAGAGTTACATCTTAACTGCACGAGCACAGTATTTGCAGGATGGAGACTTGTCAGCATTCCTCGCGCGCCCCCTGGTGGTGCATCTTTTGATTGCAGCCACTGTTCTGAGGGGTCAGGGGGCCCGCGGAGGGGACTATAGGACCGCAGCGGGCCTCGCCCAGCCCTCAGCTTTTCAGGCAGAGTAGACCCTGGACTTCCCTGCTCTTCACACGCCCAGAGCTAGTGAAGGGGCAAGCAATTGATGTCTAATTTCTTTATAAGTGGATCGCCGCCCGCTGTTCTTCAGGGGATCCTCTGGGTGACCGTGAATTGTCCAGGCTTCCAGTTAGAATCCACGTGCACTATGGCAATTTCTAGTCACAGGGATTTAATGGTCCCGAGGCTGAATGCTAATTTCTTTTAAAAGTCTGTCACAGGAGGACGTGTTTCTATATTTAAAGCTAGTTTAGTGTGCATTTTCACCTATCAGAAAAGGAGCTCATGCTCTCCTGGCACATTATGGCTGCGCTAACCTTCTTCCACATCTCCGCCCCAACTCCACCTCCCGCCGCATTGCACAGCGCCTGGTGGTGAGCCAGGTGGCATTTGCCTTGACTTGAATAAGAACTGGCAGGACACCAGCCTGCCCCGTGCACACTTTGACCCACATAGCACATAGTTTCCTCAGGCCTTGAGGAACGATCTGGGACTCCTGAACCTTCACTGGTGGCCTAGTCTCTAGGGAGTGGCACTGTAAACCCACAGGCCTCAATGGCGGTTAGAATCCACCAGTGGCTCCGTGGAGAAAGGTGGGCATTCTCCTCCTGAAAACCCACTCGAGGGTCAGCTGTGAGCTAGTTTCAGCCCAACGGCAATGAGAGTTTATAGGGACATCTCTGCCAGAAAACTTTACACTCTAACCTTCCAGATCTCCCCATTTAGTCTCGATTGTCAATATAAACCAGAAATCTCAGTAATGGCAAGCAACCTACATTATGCAGATGACACAACCTTGTTAGCTGAAACTGAGGAGGACCTGAGGACTTCACCGAGGGAGGTCAAGAACCGCAGCCTTAAATACGAATTGAAGCTCAGCATCAAAAAAAGAAAGATTCTCACCACTAACCCAACTGGAAGCATCATGGTAGACGGAGAAGATATTGAGATTGTGAACAGCTTCAGCTTTTAGTTGAACACTTCTGGTACCAGCAGCCAGGAAAAGATGAATTGCTTTGGGAAAATTTGCTGTCAGAGACCTCTCCCGAGGACTGAAGATCAATGATAGATAATCTAGAGATTAAGGTGTGCATGATCCAGGCCATGGTCTTCACAATCACTATGCATCAGAGGGCTGGACAATGACTAAGAATGATAGAAGAAGAATTGATGCCTTTGAGTTGTGGTGTTGGAGTGTTGAATATATCATGGATTGCTAAGTGAACAAACAGGTTCGTCCTGGATAGAGAGAAACCAGGCTGCTCCTTGGAAGCAAGGATTTTGAAGCTCTGTCTGACATATTCTGGGCATGTTGCCAGGAGGGACCAGTCCTTGGAGAAGGACATCATGCTTGGACGAGATGGATTGTATCATTGACTGGGATATTCGGGGTAGATGTGCCAGAGACAATAAATTGGGTCAAGACAGAGCAGGATTCAGAGCTGTTATACATAAGGTCGCTAAGCATCAGAGGTGACTGGACGGCACAAAATAGCAGCAACAACAACACTCTGATGGATCATTCCTAAACCCTTGCCTTTTATTGTTGTGTACCATCCAGTCATAACTGACCCTTCAATGGGCTTTCATAGGCAGTTAATCACACAGAAGACTGCCCATCTCCTGCAAACTGGCTGGTGGGTTTGAACCACATACCTTTGTGTTGCCAGGATAACTCCTTACACTAGGCCATTAGAGCTTTGTAGGTATTTCATTAGCAAATAAGAATAGCAATAGGATCTGCCGCTTAAATTTTGGTCTTGAGCCAAGCAAGCAAGGCACCTTACATATTATTATTATCATCTCTCAGACTTCCTTTCTCTTGTCCCCAAAAGTATGACAGTAATCACTTACATAGGTCCCAACTTTTGGCCCTGAAATGTTGCTGTGCAGGAGGAAGTAGATCTCTGAGTCAGAATGTCCTGTTTTGTCCTTCCATTCCCTTAAATGCCCAGCACTGACAGGTTCCCACTCCGAGTTCAACCACTGCAGCCCAATGCTTGTCAAAATTGCGCACACCTCTGGTATTTGCCTTCGGGCAGCTCCAGGGTTCCCTGGTTGAGGGATTTCAGATGCTCTCACTAACTGTTAATGGGGAGGAGGCAAGGATGAGACCATGATGGCACAGAGTCACCTCAGGATGACAGGCTCTGACTGGGAGCCTGGGGGACAGCAACACCAAATTTGCCAATTCATCATTGGCCTCAACCGACCTTTATTCAAGGGTTAAAGTAATTTTAAAGAGGGCAATTCAGAGTCAAACAGTTTTCTTTCTTTTTTAAAAATGAACATTGAAATTGAGTACTCAAATCAAACCTGAAATCAAATTGAGTGCTCAAATAAAAACAAACCAAATAAGTGCATAATTCACCACATCTTTACATAATAAAGAAGATTTAAAGAAAAAGTGAAAAGTCTACTGGTTCCTGGGAGTCTTCAAGGGTCAGAAGCCAGTGGTATTCCCTCCCAGGACTCTGTCACAGTCCTGCATACTTTGCCCCTGGGGACAGTGAGACCAGAGTCCCTGACTCCTCTGTCAATCATCAGGGTGTAGGGGTGACACGTTACTAACATCTCAAGCCTCAGTTTCCTCCACTGTAAGAGGGAGGCAGTCATTTCCCAGCTATTGCAAGGATTCTGTGCAATACCGAGCTTTGTAAAGGGCTGTGTCTGGTGTTTGGTGCTGGTGCTCCCAGATAATAACACTTACATTCCCGCAATCTTAGCTCGAGGGGTCTCCACATTTTCCTGATGAGGAATCATTTTTTATCTCCTTAAAGTGCTTTGATTGTTGCTCACAGCCGCTGGTCAGCCAGGGGACCCTGTCTGATTTTGGGGTTGAGGAGTGGCAGCAACAGTGGCTGGTTCGATGACAGGCCAGCATTTGGCTTGAGGTCACCTGTCAGACAGCCCTGCCCCCATTGTCTAGTGGATACTTGAGAGGGAGATAGGTCCAGTGGCTTTTTAAAACTCAGTGGCCCCAACTGAGAGGCACACACTCTGTGGTTGTTGTTAGGTGCCATGGAGTTGAGCATGACTCAGCAACCCTGTGAACAACAGATCTGAACGCTGTCCTATCCTGTGTCATCTTCACAATCTGCGATCTGCTCAAGCTCATTGCAGCAGTCACTGTGTCAATCCATCTGGTTGAGGGTCTTCTCATTCACCTTCCTTGCACCTTGCCAAGCATGATGACTGTCTCCAAGGAATAACCTCTCCTAGCAACATGCCCAAAGTATGTGAGAGAAAGCTTCATCATCTTTGCTTCCAAGGAGTGCATTTGGCTGGATGTTTAGTTCCCTTCTCTAACCCCACAGCTCAAAGGCATCAACACTTTCTAGGAGACCTCAAAACTCCAACTTGTTGCCCTGGATTAGAACTCACAGCTAATTCTCCAACAGATTCTTCAAGGCTATATAAACTGCACAAGAAGATTTTTCTCTGCAAGTCTTTGTCAACTTGCAGCTAATTGCGATCAATTGCACTTAAAGGAGACTCAGGTGGATTGATGAAGTTTATTATTGCTTTTACTAAATTGTTGTCAGCTGTCATCCAGTTGACTTCTGACTCACAACAGCCTCATGTTAAAGTGTGTTAAGATGGAATTGTACTCCATCAGGTTTTCACTGGCTGACTCTTTGAAGTAGATCTCTAGGCCATTCTTCCTACTCTGTCTTCATCTTGGAGTTTTGCTAAAACCTCATCAATGTCAGTGATCGCTTCATAGCACTAATGTCAGTCTAGAGACTAAGGTGTGCCTGATCCAGGCCACAGTCTTTGAGATTACTCGCTATGCATCAGAGAGCTAGACAATGACTAAGGATGACAGAAAAATTGATGCCTTTGAGTTGTGGTGCTGGAGAAGAGTCTTGAACATACCATGGACCACCAGGAGCACAAATAAGCCTGTCTTGGAGAGGGCGAAACCAAATTTCTCCTTGGAGGTAAGGATTTTGAAGCTCTGTCTTATATACCTTGGGCATGTGGGAAGGAAGGACCAGTCTTTGGAGAAGGATCTCGTGCTTGGAAGGGTGGAGGAACAGTGCAGGAGAGAAAGACCCTGGATAAAATGGATTGACTTTACTTAAGGCAATGGGGGTAGGTGTATTGGAGTCAGTGAGACTGGCTCAGGACAGGATAGGGTTCAGAGCTGTTTTATGTAGGGTCACTATGAGTTGTGGCAACTGGTGACTTGATGGGACATAACAACAGCAGAGAACAATGTGGAAGCGCTGACAAAGCATGTGTCCTGGTAACACATTAACATCTCAAGGCTCCCTTTCCTCAGTTTTCATCCTTTCTAAAATGAAGGCAGTAGTTTACTCAGCTGTTGGAAGGATTTGATGTGATAAGTTTTGTTAAGGGCAAATTTCTACAAGTGGTTCTGCTTGAGGCACATCAGCCAGGAAGCAAATTTGGGACTTCAGCATGGGCGGAAAGAATTATACCACAGAACCACCAACGTCCTCCTTAACTAAGATAATCCTCATAAAACCACCTTTCTCTCTGTCTGTTCCCCTCCCTTCTCTGTCTTTCTCACTAATAGCTGACTCTCCATCTGGTCTCTGAGACTATATTGCATGTGAGGCAATGGTCCATCTTTCTCCTGATGGATTAGAACTGCTGGAGAGGTGTAACATTTGGGTTAGCTGTTTAACACCTACAGACTTATGTCTCCAAGGGCTCCTCGCAAAACAGACAGAAGTTTAAAAAAAAAAAAACATCTTGGAAAAACATGGCATATTTACAAATGTGAAATTTAAATTCAAATGGCAAGAAGAAGTAAATGACAGAGCTGACACCTTTGTGATAAGCTCTATATTGGCCACACGACAAAGTGAAAAACATAATGATCTAATCAGGCCTGGCAAGTCAAAACCGTTGGAAGATTATTTGAAATACAGACTATATCCACCCTATCTGAAACAGGAAATGATAGCAGTTAATATATGTAAAAATAAGTAACAAATAAGTTAATATGCTTATATCTAGGAGTAAACACTAACAAATGTTTTAGTAATAGGAATGTGTGGGGGGAAAATTGAGAACACTTATCTAGCCAAAATCTGGCCCCCTCAACTTTTGCCTTAAAATCTTAATTCAGAAGCAACTAAACACTTAGTTCAACACAGTTCAGCATGTTGGGGAAGCACTTCCCAGGGATGAGTCCCTCAAATTCCTGAATTTGGGACCCACTTCAGACCTAAAGGCCCATTTTGCAAGGAACATGTTCGTTGAGATAATTGAAATTTCTATCCAACTTTTCCCTCAGTAAAGGTTCTCTCATTTTCAAACTATCCAGGGGGGAAAAAAATTGGGGGAGAGTAATTCATCAGTCGTGGGAAGACGAGCTTTGTGCCTGGCCCAGAAGCATGGGGAACAGTTACATGGGGCAGCGGCCGTACCTGCTTCTCTGCTCTGCATTTCTTTAACGTCCTCATTAGATTGCCGTGTTCTTCACCTCTTCTTTCCATCATCATCTTCATCTGCTTAACCCCAATCAAAGCCTTCTTCACATCTTTATCAGCCTCTGTCTCTGCAGACTCAACAAAACCTACAAGATAGGTTACAAGGTCTTTTTAATTTTGTTTTAAAACTCATCCGTTTACAAAACAAAGAGTTCACCAGTTTTTATGTCCCTTAAGTGGAACCCTCAGTCAGAGACAGACACAGTGACAGCCACAATGGGCTCAAGTGTGTCAGAGACTGTGAGGATGGCACAGAATGGGACAGGATTAAGATTTGCTCTTCATAGGGTCGCTGTGAGTCATACTGGACTCAGTGATGCCTCGCAACCACAAAAATGGAAGCATAATTGTTTCTTTACAGTATCAGACTCTGCTAGTCAGCTGCCACATGGTTAATATTGCCAATTTAACCTGGTTCTTGCTTTTTATTCTTTAGGATCTGCTTTATTTCCTTAAATTTATCTAATTTTCCCCCTTTTCACTTATGACTCAGGTGTGTTTATAGTAGGGTTAATTTAGAATTTCGTTTGTAGACATTTCCATTCTACAGCCAATTTGGGACCTCAGTGAATGATTTCTCTCACTTTCAGCATCAATGACCTGAAATGGAATTTGATGACAACTTCCCAAGTCATTAAACTCAGCAAGTAACTGAGACATCTCCACGCCTCTCATAAGCCTTTATGCCAGTTGCTGTGAGGCATACCTCAACTCATGATGACTGTGTCAAAGCAGCTCTGTGGAGCTTCCAGTAGTCGATTTTTGGGGAAGTAGGTCACCAGCTCTTTCTTCTTGGGAACCTCTGAATAGACTCACATTTCCAACCTTTTGGTTTGCAGCTACGGATATCAGTTGTAGTTGTTGTTAGGTGCCATTGAGTTAATTGTGACTCATAGCAACTGACAAATCCGTGCCAGCTTACGCCTGCGCAGAGGAGATCCGCTCCATAACATTGTCTTTCAGGAGCAGATTGTTATTGTTGTTGTGTACTGTCAAGTCAGAACCAACCTATAGCTGACCCTCTGGTGGGTTTTAAGAGGCAGTTAATTGCACGGGAGGCGATTCAGAAGCTGACTGCCAGGCCTTATTTCTCAAGTGCCTCCGGGGAGGTTTGAACCACTAGACTTTTGATGAGTAACCCAGTGCTTAACCATATGCACCACCCAATGATTTGAATAAGCATGGAGTGGGCCTCAAGTTCACTATCATGTAAAGGTGCTTTGGTGGCCTAGGGGCAAGAAGCTGCACTGCACTATGGCACAAGGTTCAAATCCACCAGCTGCTCCCTGGGAGAAGGATGGGCAATCTTCCCCCATGCTATTCTGTTCAGTGGGGTCTCTGAAACAGCTTTAACTTGATGGTGCTAATGACAACAGTCAGCTGGTGCAACAGTTAACACTTGGTTGCCAACCAGAAGGCCAGTGATTCAAATCCACTCAAAGGTGCCTCAGAAGACGGGCCTTAAATGGAACTCCCCGAAGTCCCAAAAACCTTATGCAACATTTCTATTTATTCTGCACATATGGGGTCTCCTTACAAGTCAGAATTGACTCAGTGGTAAGCAATCCACACCACTTTAATTCATTCATCTTAAGTGTTGAGTACCCCAGGCATATATGACTAATTAGGTCACCAGCTAATGATCACAGCATGACTAGATTCAGTGTCATTTATAACTCATCTTTTTGCTATTGAAAAAATAATGGCACAGATTACTTTAATTGTTGAAATTTTTTTAAATGCTAGTTAAGTATTTCACTGTTCATTAAACACTGTGCTGCGATGAAACCAAACATCTGGATGATTAAAAAAAAAGCAGCAGTCAAAAAGTTGGCAGGTTTTATCTGCGTGATAGCAAACATCTGGGTATGTGGACCTTCTCAGAGACTCGACTGGAATTTTCTATTTTTATCCAGATGTTTGGCGTCTACTTGGCCCAGAGAAACCCAAGGGCTGTGGTGAACACTCTTATCTCTCAGCTGTAAATCACTGTAGATACCGACAGGGCACCGAGCAGGACACAGATAAAAAGAGCGAGCTTACCCCTCAGGTCTCCACCCACAGCGGCCTGCTCCTTCCAAGTGGGCGCGCAGTGACAGGCATTCAGCCACAGCAGATAAACAGTAAACACCACGAGTGGAGGCTTCATGTTTCCGCTGTTTCTGCAAAGGAAAATAAACCTCTTCAAATGCTTTTCACGATGGGACATTCAGCCAATGGAAAACACATGGGGCGCCAAGGCAGGATTTTTTTCTGTTCATTTTTCTTTATGATTTTAGACAACTTATGCTAATGTGCCTGGGACATGAAGAAGCTTAAAATAGAAGTTATTGGTTTCTGTATTTTTTTTTCAATAAATCCTCTTTTAACTTACATTCCTCACAGCAGTTGAGTGGGGTTATCATCGCAAGTACTGTAACTGTCTTTAAGGCTTGAACTGTCAGACAATGAGGAGTATACACCACTGACACACAGGGTCACTTAACTTCATGTTACGTACACACCAAGGGTAAACACCTCTAAATGTAGAATCAGTTATAATTATGTCAGAGGGATTTTTTTTAAAAATTCTGAGTCCCAAAGTGAGTTTTTGCTAGATAAGTTACTACTAATTGTTATTATTACAATTATTAAAGAAAGCAAAAGGAGCCTCGCATAGTCTTTTCAGACCTCTTATAAAATCCACCAGGCTATGTGAATAGTTTACAGTTATATTTTTTTCATCTCAGATAATGTTTTTACTTTTAAATGAAATTTGGTTTTTATTCATTATAACTGTTTATAATATGAAAGTTTAAAATTTTACTAAGAAGGAAAAATTAAGTAAATGAAAACAAGTATGTTCTAATGAAGTGAAATCTAGAAAACAACCCCACAGGAATCATTCATCTGCTTTATGTATATTTTCTAATATGAATAAACAAAAAGAAAACCATCGCCGTTATTTAACCAACATTTAGCATGTCCGTCAATTAAAAGGCACACCCAGGGACCTTATAAAATAACATCTGCATATAGTTACAAACTTATTGCAGGTTTACATACCACGGGTGAACTAACTCTTCGGGTGAACTAACCCTTCTCTATTAACATCCGATTTACCAAACAAAGCTTTTGAAAACAGTATATTTACCATTAACTTGGCAATAGTTCCCCAGTGCAATTGCCAAGAGCTCCTGGAAGTGCCTTCACTTTTCTCTGATCTGATTCTCATTGGTGTCACGGATTTAGCCTTGTTCTAATAATTTGATGACATGGCCCTTAATCCTATTAACCTAACACTGAGATTATGATTCAAAACACGTAGGTTTAGAAATAAGCGCTAGAGGGCGAGCTGTGCCCAGGATCAGGAATAAGGATGACATTTAACACAAACGCTTGCTGAAACCGAGGAGGACATGAGGTGATTGCTGCAGAAGGAGAGGTAAACCCAGGAAATTGAAACCTAAAAAATATTTGAAAATGAGTAATTTATGACATGTATAATCCTATGTTGGGAACTCTGGTGGCCTAGTGGGTAAAGAATTGTGCTGCCAACTTGAATCCACAAGCTGGTTCAAAGGAAAAAGATGAACAATTTCCTCCCATGTGGTTTACAGCCTCTGAAACCCACTCATGGTCAGCTGTGAGTCGGTTCCTATGGCACATAACAACCACAACATATTTCTATGTTGATGTGTGCCATCTAGTTACTTGCAACTCATAGCAACCCTATGCACAACAGTCCTAAACCCTGCTGTATCCTGTGCCAACCTCATTGTCTCTGTCACACATACCCTCGTTACCCCAGTCACTGAATTAATACCATCTAGTGCAGTGCCTTCCTCTCTTGTGCTGTCCCTCACCCTTCCAAGCACAATGTCTGCCTCCAAGGACTGCCTACTCCTTGCAACATGTCCAAAGTATGTGAGATGAAGCTTCAGAATCCTTGCCTCCAAGGAGCAGTCTGGTTTCATGTTCTCTAGGATGAAACTGTTTGTTCTCTTGTCAGCCCATTGTATATTCAATACTCCTCTGCAGCACCACAGCTCAAAGGCATTGATTCTCCTTCTATCATCCCTAGTCATTGTCCAGCTTTCTGATGCGTAACAAGTGATTGCAAAAATTATGACCTGGATCAGATACACCCTAGTCTCCATACTAACATTGTTGCTCTTCAGTACTTTGGAGAGGTCTCTGACAGAAGACTTTCCCAACGTGACTCATCTTTTGATTTCCTGGCTACTGGTACCAAGTGTGTTGATTGTGGAGTCAAGCAAACTAAAGCTGTGACCAATCTCAATCTCTTGACCACTTATCATCATGCTGTCAATCAGCCCAATGGTGAGAATCTTTGTTTTCTTGATGTTGAGCTTCAATCCATATTTAAGGCTGCAATCCTTGACCTTCTGAAGAACAAATTTAAGCTTTGAGTTGCAATACCTAAGGATGCTTTGGGAAGAATATGAAATGATCAAGGAAGCATTAAAAAAAGATGGAGTATACAGAGTCATTGTATCAAAAGGAGATTGCTAGTCAGACGGGGCCCAGAGACGCTTCTGGAAGAACCATCACGATGGCCGCCCAAGGAGAACCCCAAGTCCAGTTCAAACTCATGTTGGTGGGTAATGGTGGTACTGGCAAAATGACGTTCATGAAACGTCACCTGACTGGTGAATTCGAGAAGAAGTATGTAGCCACCTTGGGTGTGGAGGTCCAGCCTCTCTTGTTCCACACCAACAGAGGACCGATTAAATTCAATGTGTGGGATACAGCTGGTCAAGAAAAATTTGGGGGACTGAGGGATGGCTATTATATCCAAGCCCAGTGTGCCATTATAATGTTTGATGTAACATCGAGAGTTACCTACAAGAACGTGCCTAACTGGCATAGAGATCTGGTTCAAGTATGTGAAAACATCCCCATTGTGTTGGGTGGCAATAAAGTGGACATTAAGGACAGGAAAGTTAAGGCAAAACCCATTGTTTTCCACCGAAAGAAGAATCTTCAGTACTACGATATTTCTGCCAAAAGTAACTAAAACTTTGAAAAGCCTTTCCTTTGGCTTGCTAGAAAACTAACTGGAGACCCTAACTTGGAGTTTGTCGCTATGCCTGCTCTTGCCCCACCAGAAGTTGTCATGGACCCAGCTTTGGCAGCACAATATGAGCATGATTTAGAGGTTGCGCAGACAACTGCTCTCCCGGACGAGGATGACGATCTGTGAGAGAACGAAGCTGGAGCCCAGCGTCAGAAGTCTAGTTTTATAGGCAACTGTCCTGTGTTGTCAGTGGTGCCGCGTGTTTGCCACTTTATTATCTAGCTAAGCAGAACATGTGCTAATCTTTGGGATGCTGAAGGAGAGATGAATGGGCTTCGGAGTGAGTGTAGCAGTTAAAATAACCATTTTTTGGACCTGCATATTTAGCTGTTTTGGAAGGCAGTTCCCTTCTTGAGCTTCAAATATAAGACTGCTACAGTCAAATCACAATGTTGTTGTTGTTGTTGTTATGTGCCATCTCTGCGGTAAAATCTTGTTACTGTCATTCCCATTCTTTTCGTTTAGAACCAGAATAAAGTTGTATTTCAAATATCTAAGCAAGTGAATTTAACCCTTGTTTAAAGATTTTAAAACCACTGCAAAGGAACTTTGTGCTGGGTTGCTATTTTAAATGTTTTTGTTATTACCACCTATTTAGAAAACTGTTTGGTTAATTACTATTTATCTACTTTTAACTCTGTGTGTGTGTGTGTGTGTGTGTGTGTGTGTGGGTGTTTCCATCATCACACAAACTGGCTGGCTGTGATAAAGGATTTGATTAAAAATGAAGTAAAAATATTGCCAGTGCAGTTAAGCTAATGGCCGACACATTTATTTTGGCAAAGTGATCACCAATTGAAACGTGGGAAGTTGTTTTTGAAGAAGAGGGTGGTTTGGCTAAATCATAGAAATTTAAGGGTCATGGTTCCCTTTATGGCAGAGGAAGCCCTATTTTAATGTAGATGCAGACCATAGTTAATAGCAAGGTCTTAATCTGATAAAATGAGTGTGTTGTATAGATAATGATACTTGGTTTAATGTTAAATGCTTGATTAAAAGGTTACTATCAGGGGAAAAAAAAGGAGATTGCTGACACAGAAGAATTTCATAAAACAAAGTATGAGGAAGAGCCTGTGGTGACGAAGGAAGAAGTTCAAGCTGCTCTGAAAGAATTGGCAAAAAAACAAGGGTCCAGGAATTGATGGCATACTAATTGACATATTTCAACAAACAGATGCTTCTCTGGATGTGCTCACTAACTTGTGCCAAGAAATCTGGAGGACAATCACCTTGCCAATTGACTGGAAGAAATCTATATTTGTTTCCATTCCAAAGAAAGGTGACCCAACAGAGTGCAAAAATTATTGAACAATATTGTTAATATCACATGCAATCAAGATTCTGCTAAAAATTTTCCAAAACGACTGTAACAGCAAGTACATCAACAGAGAACTGCCAGATGTCCAGGCTGGGTTTAGAAGAGGCTGTGGTACTGGGAATATTATAGCTAACGTTAGATGGATCTTGGCTGAAAGCAGAGAGTACCAGAGGAATGTCTTTCTGTGTTTTATTGACTATGCAAAGGCATTTGACTGTGTGGATCACAACAAATGGTTGCTAACTCTGAGAAGAATGGGAATCCCAGAACACTTGATTGTGCTCATGTGAACCCTATGCTTGGACTAGGAGGCAAGTATAGAACAGAGTAAGAAAACACTGCATGGTTCAAAATTGGGAAGGGTGTATTCCAGGGGTGTGTCCCATCTCCATACCTTTACAATCTATATGCAGAACAGATCATCCAGGACGCTGGGCTCTATTTCTATGTAGGTAAAAAAAAAACCAAAACCAACCCCACCAAAACCTTTTCATTAAAATGGTAATTTTAATTAAAAATATAAACAATAAAATGATACTTGCTATACAAATTTTAGTTGTTGTGCACCAGTGAGTTAAAACTGACCCATAGCTGACCCTCTGGTGGGTTTTCAGAAGTAGTTAATTGTACATGAGGAGATGGCCCATCATTCTCCCGCAGGTGGACCCGAACCATTGGGATTGCAGTGCAGCTTCTTGCCACTAGGCCACCAGAGCTCCCTGTTGTTGTTGTTGTTGTTGTTGTT